GGCTTCTGGATGGCCGCTCACTGTGGCTGCTGGCCACTCACGCTGGCTGCTGGCTACACACGGTAGCCCATGGCAACCCACTGCCACAGGGGCTGCAGGTGACTCACGGCAGCCCAGCTCCAGGTTGAGCTGTTGTTCAGCATCTTAGCTCTGGAGGGCAGTGTCACTGGCCCTCATATGTGGGATCCGAACTGGGGCCCTCTGGCATCCCAAGCCAGCTCTTAACCAATGCACCACTCGGCCGGCCCCAGACTCTATTTTTTTGAGCAGTTTCACGTTCACAGAAAAACTGAGTAGAAAGTGCACAGTATTCTCACAGGCCCCCCTCACCCACTTCTGGTTCCCTATCTTGCATTTCTGTGCTGCATTTTTAAAACTGTGAACTCACATTGTTAACTAAAGTTCATAATTTATATTACAGTTCTTTCTTTTTCTTGTACATTTTATGGGTCTGACACACGTATAATGACATGTATCCACCATTATAGTATAAGAGGCTGGTTTCATTGCCCGAAAAGTCCCCTGTACTCCACCCGTGCACCCCTCCTTCCAAATCTCTCCAGCCACTGCTCTTTGTACGTCTCCACAGTTGTGCCTTTTCTAAGATGTCACATGGCTGAATGACAGTGTCCAGCCTTTTCAGATTGGCTTCTGTCACCAAGTAACATGCATTTAAGGTTCCTCCATGTCTTTTCATGGCTTGAGAGCTGATTTCCTTTTAGCGCTGAGTAATATTCCACTGTCTGGATGGACCACAGTGTATTTATCCATCACCTGGAGAAGGGCACCTTGGTTGCTCCCAAGTTTTGGCGATTCTGAACAAAGCAGCTGTAAACACCCGTGTGCAGGTTTTTGTGTGGCCGTCAGTGTTCACCTGCTTTGTGGGTAAAGACCAAGGAGCCCGGCTGCTGCCTTGTATGATGAGAGCATTTGAGCTCTGAGCGGAACTGCCAAGCTGTCTTCTTCCCAGATGCCTCACCGTTTACGCTCCTGTTGTCCATGTCCTCACCAGCGTGCAGTGGTGTTGGTGTCCTGGATTTTGGCCCTTCTGATAGGAGTCTCATAGTTATAATTTGCAATACTCTAATGACATATGATTTTGAGCATTATTCATATGCTATTTGCCACCTGTATATCTTTTTTGGTGAGGTGTCTGTTCAGGTCTTTTGCCCATTGTTTTAAAGTTGCGTTGTTTTCTTATTGTTGAGTTTTAAGACTTTTTCGTAGATTTTGGATAACAGTCCTTTATCAGATATCAGTGATTTGCAAATATTTTCTTCCTGTCTGAGGCTTATCTTTTCATGCAGAAGTTTTTAATTTTAATGAAATCCAATTTATCATTTTTTTCTTTCACTCTTTTGGTGTTGTATCTAAGAAGTCATTGCCAAACCCAAGGTCATCTGGGTTTTCTCCTGTGTTACCTTCTAGATCAGATTGATTTGCATTTTATACGAGGTCTGACAGTTAAGTGTGTGAACTTGTTCCAACAATGTTGCTAACCTCTTTTATTTTGATATCAGAGGGATTATTTATTATGAATTTGTACCAACTGGACAAACAGTTAACCAAGGTTACTATTTGGAAGTGCTGAAAAGGCTGTGTGAAAAAGTTAGACGACCTGAACACTCCACCAACAATTCATGGCTCTTGCATCCCGACAGTGCACCAACTCACACAGCACTGTCTGTGAGGGAGTTTTTAGCCCATAAACAAATAACTATTGGAACACCCTCCCTACTCTCCTGATCTGGCCCCCAATGACTTCTTTCTCTACCCAAAGATAAAGGAAATATTAAAAGGAAGGCATTTTGATGACATTCAGGACATCAAGGGTAATATGATGACAGCTTTGATGGCCATTCCAGAAAGAGTTCCAGAATTGCTTTGAAGGGTGGACTAGGCGCTGGCGTCAGTGCACAGCTTCCCAAGGGGAGTGCTTCAAAGCTGACCACAGTGATATTCAGCAGTGAGGTATGGAGCACTTTTTCTAGGATGAGTTTGTGAACGTAATTGTCCAATCTTGTATTTAGGTGTGTGATTCATTGTGAGTTAATTATTGTGAAGGGTGTGAGGTCTGTGTTGAGTTTCTTTTTATGCATGTGGATGTCCAGTTGTTCCAGCACCATTTGTAAAAAAGCTTGTCCTTCCTCCATTGTATCATCTTTGTTCCTTTGTCAAAGATCAGATGACTATACTTATGGGGAGAGGGCGGCGTCTATTTCTGGGCTCTCTACTCTGTGCCATTGGTCTAAGTGTCTGTTCTTCTACTAACACCGCGCTGTCATGGTGACTGTAGTCTATAGTAAGTCTGGAAGTCGGGTGGTGTCACTCTGACTTTGTTTCTCTCCCTCAGTACTGTGTTGGCTGTCCCTGGTCTTTCGCCTCCATATAAACCTCAGAATCAGTTTGTCAATATCCACAAAATAATGTGCTGGGATTTTGACTGGGATTCCATTTAACCTCTAGGTGAAGTTGGGAAGAACTGACATCTTGACTGTATCGAGTCTTCCTGTCCATGAACATGGAGCGCCTCTCCATCTATTTAAGACCGTCTTTGATTTCTTTCATCAGAGTTTTACAGGTTTCCACACATAGATTGTGTACATATTTTGTTAGATTTATACCTAAGTATTTATGTTCTTTTTGGTATCAATGTGAATGGTATCATATTTTAAATTTCAAATTCCAATTGTTCATTGCTGATAGTTGTATTTTAAAAAAATTTATTATACATTAATATAGATTATTTTCTTTTAGTGTACAGTGTGAATTTTAATACATAGAACTGTGTAATTGCATAATACTTAATGGTGAAATACTCAATGCTTTCCCCCTAAGATCAGAAACAAGCTGATGATGTCCTCTCTCACCATCCCTCTTCCATGCTGGAAGTCCTAGCCAGTGCAATTAGGCAGGAAAAGGAAATAACAGGAATATAGGATGGAGAGGGAGAAATAAAACTTCCCCTGTGCACACATTTGTCTCTGTAGAAAATCCCAGACTAATCCAAAAGTTCAACAGGATAACACATAAAAATCAATCTTATTACTATATACAAGCAATAAAAAGCAATGAACAATTGGAAATTGACATTGAAAACAATAGCCTCCTTAAAAGAAAGAGAGAGAGAGAGAGAGAGAGCGAGAGCGAGAGCGAGAGCGAGAGCGAGAGAGAGAGAGCGAGAGAGAGAGAGAGAGAGAGAGAGAGAGGGAGAGAGGGAGAGAGGGAGAGAGGGAGGGAGAGAAGGCAGGCAGGCAGACTTAGGTATAAAGCTAACGAAGCACATACAGGATCATATGCTAAACACTACAACATGCTGATAAAAGAAACTAAAGATGACCCACGTAAGTGGAGAGACATAACATGCTCATGGGCTGGAAGACTCCACAGTCAGGAGGTCAAGCTACCCCAAAGTGATCTACAGAATTAACTCAGTTTCAAAAATCCCAGCAGGACATTGTAGTTACAGATAAGACGATTCTTAATGACTATGGAAGGGTAAAAGAGCTAAGACAGCTAAAACAATGTTTACAAAGAAAAACACGAATCATACTACCCAATTTTGATGTTTTCCATAACACAGCAACAATCAGAGTGTGGCGTTGGCAAAAGGATAGACACTTAGGTCAGTGACCAGACTGGAGTCCAGAAACAGACCCTCATAAATATGGCAGTTTGATCTCTGACCATCGTGCTCAAGCAGTCCTTTGGAGAAAGGACAGTCTTTTCAACAAATGCTGATGGAACAACTGGTCGCCCATATGCAAAAAGCTGAACCTTACCGCTTACAATCACCGCAAACGGGTCACATAAACATAAAACATAAAACTAAAATGTTTTCAAGAAAACAGAATATCTTTGTGACCCAGCATTTGGCAGAGTTCTTAGACATGATGTCAAAGGCATAATCCATAAAAGAAAACTATGATAAACTGAACTTCATCAAAATTAAAAACATTTGATCTGCCGACGACAGTGAGTGTCAAGGGAATGGAAACACCAGCTACAGACTGGGAGAAATAACCACACACCCAACTCAGGAGTATCCAGAGTATATAAAGAGCTTTCTAAACTCAACAATAAGAAATAACTCAATGAAAAAGTAGACAGAAGACATACACAGACACTGCACCAAAGATGACACGATGACCAATGAGCGCTGGTGTGACACCAGAGGCCGTCAGAAAAACGCAAGGCCAAGCAACAGTGAGAAGCCACGTCACACCTACAGACAGCGAGGATCCCAGAAAACTGACAACAGGACATGGAGAGCCTGGACTGTCATACGTGCTCTTGGAAACGCAGAGCAGGGTAGCCCTCGGGAAGGCAGTCGGCAGCTTGCTTACAAAGCTACACACGCCATGTGATCCAGCAATCCTGTAGAAAAACAAAATGTTCCTTCCACAAGCAAACCTGTCCTTGAGTGTGCACAGCTGCTCGATTCAGTCATCAAAAACTGAAAGTGCAAAAGTCTTTCGCTGGGTGAGCGGTAGATGAGCTGTTACAGCCACTTGCTGGATGCCACTTGGCAGTGAAAACGGGGAAATCCTGACATGTGCAGCAGCGTGGACAGTCTCAATGGCAGTACACTGAGAAGGAATCGTGTCAAAAGGTTGCATACATACAATTTTACTTATACGGCATCTGGAAAAGCCAACATTGTAACACTGGGGATCAGTGGTCGCCAGGGGTCACAGGTGGGGGCATATGTGGCAATGAAGGGCAGGCCCACTCTGTGTCCTGACTGTGGTGGCCATTACACAAATCTATATATGTTAAAACTTCAAAAACGAAACAAAATCTTAATTTAAAAATTTTAATTTAAAAAATAAAACAAAATTAGCATATTCCTGATTAAAATGTTTAGTAAGCTGTAACAGAAGGAAATGTCTCAACTTGTAAGAGTATTTATCAAAACTCCTCAACAATCATGCTTCAACGGAGGCACTGACTATTCCTGTTAAAGCCGGCACACATGGTGTGCTTGCTGTCACCACCAACTGATGTTTTTCCGGAGGCCCCAGAAGGGAGCATGAACCGCAGAGGAGCAAAGGGCCAAGTGTCAGAGGGGCTCAACACTCGCCGGGACACGACCATCCACGTGGCCAACAGAGCTCCCAGGGCCTCTCAGAGCAGCAGGCTCGGTACCAACACCGTGTCTTCCCTTTCCCAGAGTGACCCACGAACATGTGGGCCAGGCCCCCACCGCCCCAAGGGACAATTCGTGACACAAACCAGACAAGAAATATGTGAGAACTCTGAAGACAACGTGGAAGCTCTTTAGGAAGATCGTGAAAGTTGACCTGACCACAAACATGCCACGTGGTGGGTGCCCAAAGCCAACACCAGGTGGCAAACACTTGGGAACCTGGGCCCACCACCCTGCATCCGTCAGGGGCCTTGGGTCCTGGGCCCAGCCCCCACCCTCTGGAGCCTGGGGTCCTGCAGACGATGGAGGGGTCAAATTCAGTCACTAGAAGCACCATGCAGAACTCAGGACTCACGCCCGTCTGTGCCTCCCCAGAACGAAGCTTTTTCCCGCCCGCAGGAGTATGTTCTCAGTCCCAGCATTTTTCACGGCTGGTCCGCTTGTTTTAAAGGCCAGAGCCTTTTACCTTTCAAAAGATTTTGACTAAAAATGTTCTTAAAGAAGCAACTTTCTTTTCACAGTACCGCAGTACAGCTTAACCCCAGGAATAAGCGCAGTGGTTATGTACACACACAAAAAATCCAGGGACAATTAAGGAAACAGGAGCAGAAGGTGCCGAGTGGCCTTGTGCGTCCTGCAGGGACTGCTACTCGTATGTGCAGCTGTACTTCAGTGTAACTAGGACAGGGCGACATGACATCATCATTCCAGCAGAAGGGGCACCGTGATGCAGGCGGGTGTGGAGCGGGCGGCCCCCCACCACGGGCCCCTTATGAGGGATTTGTCACACCCTCTGGGGGCTTCATCCTAAAGAACCAAAACTCAAAGGACTTATCCTTGGCCACGCGGCAGGTGCTGTGAGGCAGAGCCAACACCGTTCCTTTTGTGCGCCTGTTACCTTGAGGAGACATGCAGTCACGTGTCTGTCATGGCACTTGGACATTTTCATGCACACGGAACCACACTCGCACCTGCCTACAGGAAGTACGCGGGAGCAGTGGACGGCCACATGCTGCCCCACAAGGTCTGCAGAGGCCACGGGCACCCAGAACCCAGAGCCACCCAACCGCCTGCTCACCCGTGCCAAGTCGCCTTTCCTGGGATGACAACCAGGTCTGTGGGCAGAGCTGGGAGGGGCTGCCCGAAGCTGTCAGGCCCCCAGTGCCCCCGACCTCACCTGGCAACGATCTTGCAACCTGCCCACACGGACGACCAGCAAGGGGACCTTCATTGTGAGGCTCCCCTGCATTTTACTCCAGTATCTAAATGACAGGAGCCTTTACATGTGGCTGCGGCCAATACTCTGACATTCGTAAGACGGACTAAATGACTTACCGAAAATAAATAAATCGGTTAGGTCAGTTTCTTAAGACTGAGCTTATCTTCGTAGTTTACTGATTTGAAACTCATAAGCCAACATAATTTTGGTCACCACACTCTCCCTTTTTGAAACTCTCAGATTTCTCAGACTTTCAAGATTGCTGAAAATTACTTAACCTTTAAAAAGTAAGGTTTTGAGCACAGTACTTTTCCCCCTCTAAATGGTCTGTGATGGTTAATTAAAGTGCCAACCTGACGGGGCCCTTTAGTGTGCCCAGACTCACACTGTTCTGGGGGCATGTGTAGGTGTATTGGGGCGCCGTCCCCAGTGTGGTGGGCATCCCTGCACCCTCGCTAGAGTCGGACGCAGGGCCCCCTGCCCTGGGACCACACTGGCCCATGACCCCTGGGTTCCCGCTGGCATACCAGCTCTAAGCCACAGTGCGTGAGGTCCGAGCAAACAGGTGACTGAGGGGACCTTACACACGGTACCTGCCCAAACCCTGGTACCAAACACTGCACCAGGTTAAAAAGTTCTGCGTCCATAGTGACATCACAAGGCCACGTGGAGCGAGGCAGCTGAGCTGGGGGCTCAGGGCTGTGGTGAGGGAGGGACAGGGCGAGTGGGGTGGGCAGGCTATCCACACACTGTCCTCTACAGGTCACCTAGCTTATGCTCTTTCAAACACTCTAGATAACACATCTCCAGCCTGAAAGAAAATTAGTTAAGTTTTTCTCTTGCTTTTATTACAAGCATATAATATTAATTGGCAAAACACTGAATACAAGCTTCACTGTCATAAAATCAAAACATTTAAGCAATATTCCAAAAAAGATTTTAGACAAAAACTAGCCACCAATAGTACAAAAATTACACACCAACACAAAGCATAAAAAAATGTAAACTTTCAAATTAAACAGTCAAAAATATGTATCTGCATTGTCATCTCCATAACCCGCGACAGCTGCCATGGTGCCACGCATGACAGGCAGGCTGGTGGTGAGCTCTCTCAAACCCTGCACCGTCTGGGAAAACACGATTTTCTTAATCCCAATTCTAACTTGTTGGAACAGACACTTACAGTAACGCTACGCACATTTTAGGGGACACGCAGACTTCAGTCCATCCCTCAGATGTGCCCTCAGACGCTGACAAGGGAGGGGTGCCCAGGCTGGCACGTGCCATGCGCCCTGCCTGGCAGGGACAGTCTGAAGACAGCGGTGTAGTCTGAATGATGTTTCCTCATCTACTTATCCCAATGTGCTCAGGTCACTTAACTAGCAAGGCAGATGCACCCTGGGGCATCGGGCTGAGGTCGCAGGCGACTGCTGGAGTGTGTGGGGTTTCCTGAGCAAACAGAGACTGGGTTTGTGACCTGCTGTCTGCGCTCCCGTTATCTTCGATGTTCTGAGAACACGTCACATGTTCACATACAGCGTCAAGGTCAGCTGGCTCATTCTTAGGGCATTCGACCCAACGACACATTTTAAATCACTGGAAAATGCCCGCGCTCTGAGGAAAAACCAAACGGTGTGTAAAGGCTGCAGGGAGGTCGCGGGAAGCAGCCCCGCCCTCTGCGTGTCCAGCGCCCGAGAGCCACGGCCGCGCGGCTGCCTGCCGGGTCACTGTTTCCAAATGTTGCTGCCAGGTGCTCTTATAGGCACACGCACAGCCCAGTAACGGTGTTCTTATAATAACAACAATGAGAAAGGAAAAACCACGTGGCTGAAGGTACAGGCTTTGCGATTCCACCCACACTCCTCGCAAGGAGGCGCCGTCGCCGTGTGAACAGCGCCGAGCGAGCGCACGCTGGGACCTATTGCACAAAAGCGTGAGCAAAGCTCTTCATCCGCAGAGAACGACAACAAATCAAAACGACTCAAAGTAAAAAGAAGCTTGCAAAACATCCCACAATTTTATGTTATATGCCTGTAAATAAAGCTGGACCACTGAAACCAAACTGGATGGGAAAATAGGATAGAAGGCTTAAAATAGAATAAATAATTTTATAAAGTTAAGTTTTCTTTCTTAACCCCCCAAATCTTAAATTCAATATTATATATTCTATCTGAATTTTCTATTTTCATGAAAACCGTACTGGTGAGACTGAACGCTGGGTGGCGGTCCCACTGCTGCTGAGAGGACGCGCTGCGGCGACGACGGTGACAGGACAGCCTGTTTCACCAGCACAAACAGCTGTGACAACAACTCCACGGTAACTCCACCTGTTAGAAAACACCTAATAGGGTCCAGTCACTCACTGATCCTGACGTTCATTCTGGAAAGAATGAAACGCAGCCTTCCGACATTACCGAAAGGGGCCCACCCACCCTGTCCCCCACACCAGGCTCGCTGTGACGAGGCTGCAGTCAGACCAGAGGCAAGTCACCAGGAATCGACCTGTGGTGAACAGTCTGCTCAAGGAAATCTTAGAAAAATAGGTACTTTTGCTGCTGAGGTTTCATCAGGTTACACGATTACAAAAGCGGGGTCACGCGAGAGTGGTCAGCAACCAGCTGTGACGTGGACACTGGCTCCGACTTACTTCCATCTGTCTGTCTGTTTAAATATATCAACTTAGCACCATAGCAAATTCAAGTGATTTCAAAGAGAGTACAAAGTTACAAATATGTATCGTGAGATTATTCCAGCCACAGCCAGGTGCCTCTGAGCCGTGACGGACTCTGTCTGAATTTGGGTGCTCACTTCACCGCACAGGAAGGTGCCTCAGTCCTAATGTAACACTTAGGACCGCGCTGTGCTAACTGGTGTTTTACGGGGTGCTTCAGCAGTAATGTGTGTTTTGAGGTAGACAGGTAATATTTACTCATACACACCTACTCGGTAAACCCTGTGTAGTAACGAAAAACAATTTGGGTGAACAGCGAGCTTAGGTAACTGGACAATCCAAACAGAACGGGGAGTGAAGGGGTCGAAATCAAGAGGTGAGTTTTGACCAATTTCTAACAACTTGTTTTGAGGTCTTTAAAAGGCCTTACATTACAATCGCTTGGGTTGGATTAATTTGAATGTTTCTGTCATCACTAAGATTAGGTCTCATGAGTAGCTGCTTCTGACATTCACATACACGAAACAGGAAGCAGAAGAAAACAAACACACCTGAATGGCGATGAGCCCAACCATAACTTTTAAAGCAAATTGCAGAAAAAACTCTAGTCACTAAAGTAAAATACTTCATGGAAAACCCAGCCCGCGGACCACAAGCAGAGGTGGGGGATGGGGCTGCTGGCTGCAGGGTCACCCAGGGATGGGGACACGCAGAAGGGACCACAGAGCTCCAGGACAGCGCCGCGGCCACTCGGGGAAAGGGCTCCTTCTCCTCCTTCCTGCCTGGCATGTCCCAAGCTGCTCCTTTAAAGGGACAAATATTTTATGTGCTGGCGCAGAGTTCATTCTCCAATCCCACAAAAATATTAACACTTGGGAGGAGAACGGGGCTAACAGAATGTGTGGTGCCTGTGACTGGCATGTTAGGTCATCACGGAACTGAAAAAGCCACTTCGGGCACAGGAGCCAGCCCCCATTAAGGGTGGGTGTCTGGGGACCTGGTGTCCTCGGCAGCCCCTTCTCTGCTGGACGCGCCTTCTCAGGAAAAGCCCCTACTTGCCAGCATGTCTCTTCAACACAATGAAAATGGGGAGAACACGCAGCACAGCGAGTGGTGGCACTGCACTATTTGTGCCTCAGCTAATCACCAAAGTAACTGATAAGAACCAGAACTGTGCTGCAAGCCGGCGTGGGGCTGCTCGGCCCGGGCCGCTCACGGGGGCCCGGAGCTGCCGGCGACGCTGGGCCGCATGGCGGGGGGCGCTTAGCAGCACGGCCACCGTGCAGGGTCCACGGCCACCGCTTTGGGTACGCTTTTACATTAGGTTTTTACACTTCTGAGTCTACAGGAAACTAAACGCAACATAAATATCGTCATTCATAAAAAGATACTTTTTCAATAACTTAGGAAGGATTCAATAAACATACAAGTGTGTTTGAGGCTTACCATGAAACCTAATTCATAAACTGAACGGAAACGGCCAAGATTTGCAAGACCTGGAAAGCGAGCAAAGGGCACGTGTGGGAAGGAACGCGCTGGGGCTGTGCGTGCCACTCTGGTCTGGAAACGGGAGGACGCGGGGAGTGCTGCTCAGCTCCGTGAACCGTGAAGTGTGTCAGCATCTCGTCGCCGTGGTGCTGTCACCGCCGTGCTGTCACCGTGGTGCTGTCACCGCCGTGCATCACCGCCGTGCTGCTGGTAGTGTCTCGTTGAATGTGAGTTCTCGTGTACAAAAGTTATAAATATTCTCTATTCAGAAATCTGGTCCACAGGACACCCAGAGGCAACGTCCTAAGTGTGGCGGTCGTGGTCCCGCCGGCCACACGCTGGGGCTCAGGCGGCCAAGTCTGTGCGTGCCGCCCACTCACAGCAAGTCCATCTTGGGTCTGTAGTGCAGCAGCAGCGGTGCCTTCTGTAAGACAGGCCGACTCAACACACCGCAACGAGGACGCCCATCGGCTGGGACGTGCCGTGGGGGACCGGGGCCCAGAGGAGCCCTTCCCTGGGGCCCAGGTGACCGGGGTGAGCCCTACCCCCTGGACACTGCCCACTAGGAGCCCGGCCGTGGTCAGCCCTGGCTGTGACCCCCACCCCCGGGCGGCTGCCCTGAAGATGGGGTACCACCCATCTGTGTCCTGCTTCACAAAGAGGTGCTCAGGCTCCAGGGTGGCCACTTGCTCCCCACTCACCGCAGGGTGGTGGTCACCTCGACCAGCAGGGCTGGGGAGAGTCAGAGCCAGGCCTGGTGACTCCAGGGTTGATGATTTCAAAGTAACTGCGTTTCACAGCGATCCCGTGACAGGATCGCTATTTCTAAACTTTCACATAAAAACATGCACAGAAAAGCAGCTGCCACTTGCAGCAGACTGAAAGTCAGATAACACACGTCATCACAAAGTCACATGCCTCACCTTGAATCTCCATCTCGTGACAACCACAAACTTGAGTGTGTGATCCTTGCCCAGAATCTCCTCGTTGCATAAAATGTCCAGCTGGTGGGAGGAAAAGGCTTCGGTCAGTGGGGCTGACAGCACTCAGCACACATGGTCTCTGATTCACACCCATCAGTCTGAGGGCCCAGAGCACCTGCCCTGAAAGCCCCCAAGGCTGCTCTCACCCACAGCGCCCTGTTCCCCCAACCACAGCCCAATTTTTTATCAAGCTTGTCCCTCTCACCCAGTAGAAAAAGGTAGTGGGCTCCCCAAACAGTCCCTTTCCTTTCTTTTTTGTAAACAAAGATTATTTTAGAGTAGTTTTAGAGTTAAGAGTTTAGAGTTAGAGGGGTCACAGAAAAATTGAGTGCAAGGTACAGGGAAGTCTCACACCCCATCCCCCACAGTCAACACCCATCACCGTGGGGTGCTTGTTACAGCCCATGACCCTACACGAACACGTCACCATCACCCTGAGTCCACAGTTCACGTCAGGGTCACTCTTGGTGGTGTGTTCTGTGGGTGTAGACACGAGTGACGACACGTATCCACATTACAGTGTCACGCAACTGTTTCACTGCCCTAAAATCTGAGGACTTTTCCTGCATAAATCCCCTGACGGTGCAGGCTGGGGACAAACAGGTGCCAGCGCCCACAGAGCTGCATGAACTCAGTCCCCCAGCACCCCCTGGGGCTGCAGGCCCGTGTCCTCCCAGCTGGCTTCTGCTTCCTGTGTCCTAATGGTCTCGGGCTCATGTGGGAATTGTCTGGAGCTTGCTGTTGTTAAAAGGCCTTGTTTGAGCCGGCCGAGTGGCGCGTTGGTTAAGAGCTGGCTTGGGATGCCAGAGGGCCCCGGTTGGGATCCCACATATGAGGGCCAGTGACACTGCCCTCTACAGCTAAGATGGTGAACAACAGCTCAACCTGGAGCTGGGCTGCCGTGAGTCACCTGCAGCCCCTGTGGCAGTGG